AAATTAGGAATGATTTATATAAATTGAATTTGAGGTTATCTCTCCCTTGTCGAGCCTGCAATTAAACACATATATACGGTAGTTTAACACATTCACTTGCTTGAAAGTTGTGCTTATTAATTTTTTGTTTCTCAAGATTTATTTCCATTTCTTCGCTTTGACCAAATCGAGTAAAGGCTCGAGCTTTCCCTAGTAAATTACCAAAACTTACCTCTTAATTTTCGAGAACAGTTTAGGGCCTAAATGAAGTCTTGGATTTTGAATTTTGGTGTTTTGGTTGGTGATTAACAATTTACTTGGTGAAAACCCTCACCCTCAAATTCAAAACCCCTGCAACTAATCTTAGTCGTTGACTATACGCAGTGGATGAAGCAATAGGACTACTAATATTTTGGTTTTCCTTTTTTTCTTAATCCTTTTGGTTTTATTCCCCTCTCTACTCAATGGTCTTAATTTGTTAATGCTACCTGATGATGTTGCAGATGTATAGAATTGTCAAAAACAGTAACAAGGATGCAGAAACGCAGCACACACAGCAGCTACACGCAGCACAAACACAGCACACAGACATGCACACAGCACAAACACATCACACACACAGCACAACATGCAGCAGTCACACACAGCCCAACACAACACAGAGCGCGCGAACACGCACACAACGTGCTCACAAAAACCTCTTCATATCTTCATCACTCTCTCTTTCTTGATGCATGTTAGCTATTCGAGAAAATGTTCGAGAGACGAAAAAAATTGAGGGATTCTCATATCTTCAAATTCACTAAGGTAATCGATTTTATGCCAAAGTTCCCTCCCCCTTCAGGACTGGCACCCACACAACACACACATACATATTTGCGCAAACAATGCACTCAACCTATATCATAGAGCTATGGAACATCCAAGATTGCCCATATTGGGGTATTCACTTTCTTGATGTTTTGAATTTTATTTTTTTGTTCATATTTTATGGGTTTTTAGATGTTTGCAAAAGAGTGAACCTGATCTTCTCTTTTTGTGATTCTATTTGAATTTGTTATTTCAGCTGAGTGCTACCCAAGAAAACTAAATGCAAGAGGAAATTTAGGCTCTTATTGGTGATACTTTGCTCCTCTCTATTTCCCTATGGATATATACTCATTTATCGAGATGCTAATTTTTTTTTTTTAGGATGTTTCATAACTTTCATAAACTCGTCTACTGAAACCTCAGAAGTGTATGCATTCAAAGGTTTTGAATTTTTATTTTCAAAAAATCAGAATGGTTATTTTATTTTCATATAATACATTTCATTATTATGTGGTTTTCATTATTATGGGGTGGTGGTGAAGAATGGATAATATTGGAGAAAATAGAAGAAAAATGGCCCTTGATAAAGGCTGAAACCAGAAACCAACACCTTGCGTTCTAGGTGGTCAATGAAATGTCAGAGAGAAGAAAAAAAATTCATTTTTCATTTTTTGGGTTTTAATGTTTCTTGCTTCCTTATTTTAGCACAGCAGACACTCACATGATTTTATGCATGTTGTGTATAAAGCATGGGCTGCAATAAAATTATTTTCACTCAAATAATTGTTGGGTTGCCCATCAAACACTCAAACATAGAAACCAGTAAGTAACTTTACTCTTTGATCTTGATCAAAAAAAAAACCTTACTCTTTGATATAATCTGTCAATATTGGTTTAAAATTAATTTTTTTGGGGGGTTGAATATTTTAGGCTTTAAATTAGTGTGAATCGTTATTTTTTAGGTAATTTTTGTAATTAAATTTTGAGTAGGATGTGCTGGGCATAATGATTGTGATATTTTTTTAGTTGGGTTGTCTTAATTTTTTGACTTAGGATCGTATGGCCTCTCTCACTCTCCAAATAGATTATTTACCACTGTTATTAATTAAGTCAAATATCTACCTTTCATTTGCTATTAAAAAAAAAAATTTGTTTTAAAACTTTGAAGAAACTAGCAACTGGTATGCTAACTTTGATTTGCTTTCGCCATTCATAGGAAGTCTTAAAACCAAATAAAGTTCATAGTTTTGGTTATGGAAGGAATTGGATTTCAATTGATGAGTTGAGAAGTCGCATTCGTGGGTAAGATTTTCTTATGCTTGGTTTTTACTCCATGGTACAAGTTTTTCATACCCAGTAGAAATAGAATGTTTCGTGCAATAATTATATCATAAGATTGTGTTTATACTTGAAAGTGCATATACCTAATGTATACATTAGAACAGCTTTGGCTGCCTGGAATATTTGGCAAATACTACTTTCTACAGTAGTTGTACCTTCCTTTAATCATTCTTTGTTGATATCTTATTCATTTAGTTTTGATCCACTACCTTGGTGCTTTTCTACTCAAATTATATCTCTTTTCTATTGGTATGTTTGGATTTTGATAAAATTTAGTTTGTTTAGATGTTTACTTTGTTGCATTAAATGATGAGCTTTGCAGTAATACTTGGAGTTTTGTGTATAAGCATTATATGGCATTTGGCGAGTGTGGAAGATGGGTATGACATTCAATCCATGATCAAGAGCAAGGCTTTGATAAATATGGCTTGGAAGGACATTTTGGTGGCCCAAATTTCTATGTAGAGGATTGATAATCGTTATGCAAATATTTGTTGGATTCAAATTGTTATGCTATACAAGGAGTGTGCTGATATTAGTAAGTATAATGATTTGTGTTTGGTTATGCAATAGTTTATATTGAGCAATGCAATAGTTTATATTGGGCAATGCAATATACAATTAGACATATAAGATCTGTAAACAAGTTGAGATTTTCTTGGATTCCTTTTTTAAGAGTAAATTTTGCATAAAGTTTTTGAAAAAATAGCAAGGTTACAATGATATCAATTTTTTGAAAAACTATTTCAAATTGAATGATTTATTTAAGTTACAAGTTGCTTTAAGCACAAGTTATTACTAGACAAAATTGTTATCGAGATTCTTATTATTTACTCAGTTATTTCTTATAAAAGTATGGGCATTTAAAGTCCCTCTCATAAATTTGTGTTATATCTATTAAAGGAGTCAACCTAAACCCAAGTATCAAACAAATCATTTTGGTAGGCGGATGTGTTCTATTATAAACTACAACTCTTATCATTGATAGAATTAACTTTTATGTTAAATATTGATGGTGGAGGCTGCCAATTTTTTGCACAGAGTCTCAAAATTGAGGAAAATTCTTGGAGGTATTTTTTTTATACTGCATTACCTTTTTTTTTTTTAACGCTTTTCCATAATATTTGTGAGCTCTCCGTGGGATTATAAGCTATAATTTGTATTGGGTTCTTTTCATTTGAACAAATAATTGGATTGGCAAATAAAGTGATAGAGTAATGCAGTGTGAATTGGTTGTAACCAATAGCTTATTTAATTTTGCTATGTGATTTGAAGAAATTTCTATTGTTTGCTATTCTAATATTAGTGTGAATAGTGTGTGTTCCGTCTACTCATTGATATATTTGCCTTTATGTAATTGAGTTACAGTTGCTTTCATGTATTTGTTTGATTTTTCATGTTGATGAGTTACAGTTGTTCCATGAATTTGTACAAATCATGTCACTAATTAATTCTTTTTTTTTTCTATTTTTTGATTTGCAATTTTTTATTCATTACAATGCAAGTGTCTTAAAGATGTAGTTTAGACTTTAATTTTAGTGTTTATCTATGTTCAATACTTCATTTTTCTATCTCCATGATTAATGTTTGATTTTTCTGAATTGTACAGTACCTTCAGCACGGGTTATCGCTAGTACTTTTATATGCAGAGAAGTATATGTAATTTTTAATTTTAATCTTTACCCCTTCCTTTTGACATACAACGCACAATACATCAACAAAAAATCATATGACCAGGGAAGACATATTCGTGTTTTCCAAGTATTATCCATTATCATATGTTCAAAAAGTTTAAATGAGTTGATTACTCTATAATCTTAACAACAAATACTTCTAAGCAAACAATGTAATTAAATGTTGGTTCTTATTTCTTTAATTAATCATGTTCACTTTATAGATGTACCACAGTGAGACGATAGGTAACTTTTCAAAAATAAAAAATTGTTAATATTGTTTATTTTTGTTAAAGAATTACTAAAAATTATAGAAATCAAGTCATTACATAATAGTAAAAATATATAGTTATAGACGTATCCCAATCATATCCGTATTCTATTTTTTGGGATTTTGATATATTGTCGTATCATATCCGTATCTCGTATCCGTATCCATGCTTCAAAGATTATGATATTTTCCTAAAAGTACATTAAGATTAGAAGTTACTTTTACTTTATTTAGGCTCTTAAAAAATATCCCCTCACATTGGTGGAAACACAACACCAGTTATGCATACCCAGTAACCAAGGGCCCTAATTCTATATCTTATTAGCCATAATAAGCAACATTTGACAACTTAATATTCTTTTATTAAAACTTGATACAATAAAATGTGGTAATTCTTGCATTCTAAATTTTTAGGGACTAAACCTCCTCAGCTGAACTCCCTCATGGTTGAACCAGGAGACATATAAAGACACACACGGCTGTATATCTTTGTGTATGCGTTTCTATACCTCTAAAACTCCATATTTTACAATTATTGGATAAATCATCAGATAAAATCATGAGTGAAATGCTCTTTTCTGTTTGCACACAAGAGACACCTATTCCCCTCGTTTTACAACATCGGGAACACAAAAAGTCATTCCTTTCATGTTACCTATATCCGTAGAAGTAAAATCCTTCAATTGTCTAAATCGTATCCAACTTGATCCCAAAATATCCTTACTAAGTGTCGTCCATTGAGCACTTCTTTCCTTTTGCGTCACATAGTGCCAGGTATACAAGTGCGTATGCATAAATTACAAGCAAAAAATACCTCTAATCCCACAAATTTCAGAGAAACAAATGAAAATCTAAGAAAGACAATCAAATGCCGAATATGCGAGATACATATATCGACACCGAGAGAGAGATGGCGTGTGATGTACCTGGAAGTTCCGGGATCCTCAGTACTGAGAGGAGCATAAGAGCGATTCTGATTAAGCAACGTCGTCGTCGCCAATTCGATCACTGGTCCGCCGGAGCTTGACGAGGACGGCGAAGACCCCGTCGGAACTCGAACGCTCTTTAATGCATCTCTATACTTTCGATACAAAAAGGTCCTATTCCGCGTCGCCATTGATTATTCCAAACCAAAACAATGCTCAAAATAATCCAATTCGCTGTAGATCTGAAAATGATTCGATCAAAGAATGTTGTCACATGTTCTGTCCGCTTCTGTTCTTGTTTTCTAGCAGTTGAATCGATGAGGGTTGGATCTGTGAGGAGGGGGTGGTGACGACTGTTGGATCGTCGGGAAGAAGTGAGTCACGGAGGTTATCAAGTTGGAATCGGATGCGATGGGCTGAGTTTGGGACAGCGAGTTGCAGTTTATATTCTCAAGGCCAAAGGAGACGAATGGAAATGCCCGCGCATGGAGAATTAAGCGCGTCGAGTGTAACGATTGGGTCCTTTTTTGGGGAAAACTTTCAATAGAAGGACAATACCACGCGATAATATGACATAATATTACCGACTAATAAAATATTATGAAAGACAATTTTTTTCAACTTCATTCAATAACATTACAACTAGGTCGTCCTTCTTCAGAATTAATGACAAATTGAACTTCTAATTGCTTTCCATTAATTCTCACTCATTAACCTCGCACTCGTTAATTCACAAACACCCTTTACTACTCAGCCATTGCACTCTCTCTTTCTTCTGTCTTTCTATCTCTCCCTATTTCTTCTCTAAAAGTCGTTATCTCTCTCCTGAAATTCATAGACTCCTCCCTTCACCTTCTATGTCCAAAAAAGTCTTTGAAATCCTATTTGCCATCACTCTTCGCCCCTTTTTGTCAGACGTTGGCTGGCTTTTGTGTCTTGGCATTACACAACCATCATTGTACTACTTCATCAGGTAATGAATTTTTGTTAACAAATCATTCCCATAATTCTTGCAATTTGTCAATCTTTGTCAGTTGAATTGATTGAGATCTCTCTAAATTGCTTCTTTAACTTTGAAATTTCATACATATTATATATTGCCCGGACAGTAGTTATTTAGGTACATAGATAGTGGTTTCAAATGTAGATGAAAAAGAATATTTTTTTCATAATATTTGTTGCCTTTGCATCAAAATCCCTCTTTACTTCCTTAAGTTTGTCCACCTTCCACCAGACCTAATATTCTCTTCTGAGAGTCAACATCCATAATGGCTTGATCCGCATTTAAGCATTAATTTGAGGGTTTTAGATACCATTCCTTATGTGAAGGATTTAGTATATTTGAATTGGAACTTTTTGGCATTTCACAGATCTAATTTTACGAATGACTACAGACGTTGACTGACTCAACCCAATGGGAGAAAGATTGGTCTTCGTGATCCGGTGAATTCGCCAACCTCTTTGTTAAATGCATCTAATTCAGATTTCTCTCTAAATTGAATCTTAGCTTTGATAATCTATTTATGTTATATATTGTCTGGACTGTAGCTACTTAAGTCTATTGGATCTATCTTTTTATTTGCCTATTAGTTGTGTGTTTGTGTTATATAGATTGTTTATTTAGGATTATTTTTTGGTAGTAGCTTGTATTTCTATTAAGAAAATGTCTACTCTATTAAAACTTAGTGTTGATTCTATAATATCTCTTTCAACGTCAAAATACATTTACTCTAGTGGATTTTCCTTGACAAGCAAGTAGGTTTTTAAATTATATGTCTATGCCTTTTACCCTACTTGTTTTGTGAAGCTAAAATGAGTCCACGGAGAATCTTTGTCTTCATGGAAGTAGAACAAGGGTTGAACTCAATTACTACAATCAAACTTTGTTGGCATACTGTTATAGAAGATGTGACTATGTATTTATATTTGTACATTTATCTTTAAATAAGCGAAGGCCTGTAAAATTTTGTTCTTTTAGCAATAATGCCACAAGAGAGATTAATATATCTGAGAAACAATTAGTTATCTAGTTAAGTGTGTGGTCAAAGGGAGGTCTTTTTGTGCTCTTCTATGAGTTTCATCTTCCTTTTGGAGATTCTTTTCAATTGATTGTGATGATACTCAGAATGATTCCTGAGCAGGAGTTCGGAAACGAAGGTCAAATATGGAGGTCAGGTATGCTGAGCTCAAAAAGTCAGAGCTATGCAAAGCTTAGAAAATCAGAGCTAGGGTTCCCCTCAAGCGAGATAATAAGCTAAAGCAATGAGAAAGTAACTGGATACTACAAAGAACTCGACAGGCGGTTTGAAGTAACACTCAAGGCACAAAATCCTCAATCAACCAAGATACTCTCCTAAGATCAAGGAGAATTCCTCGCATAGATGGCAAGGATTACGGATTAGATCTAATAGATTAAGGGATACCCCTATAAAATACTATGTAACGCCTCCAACAGTGGGGGCAGAACCCTAGTATCACATCTTACATTTTGTAAACCTTTTGGTATAGTAAATAGTGAAGGAAGGAGCAATAATCTCTATTGAAGAGTGGATTAGCTGAGCTCTCGAGCTAGTGAACCACTATATTTCTATTGTGTTAATTCTCCAACTTCTCAACAATTCTCAGTATCATTCCCTCGAGTCTAGTAGCTCAGATCCCAATAATTCCAATATTGTTTCTTTCATTAACTCGTCATCACAAAATTGCATCATGTTGGAATACACCATCAGTTTGGCGTCGTCTGTGTGAAAAATTGGTCCTATTATAAACAAACTGATCTTTCAGTGACTGATGGTATCAACGCAAAACACGAACCGAAGTCAAACAAATCCTCCATGGGTGCAAGATCAACAAGAAGTTGCAAATAGCAGACAACCCAAGAGCGTCCAGGAGACCAATCTCCTAGTGGGGGGGGTCTCCCCATGAATAACGAGATGGAGGCTCTTCGCCTCTCTAATCAATGCTTGCTAAAACAAAACGAAGAACTTTTAAAGCTCTTACAACACCCACAGGAAGCACGACATGCTCAAGAAGGCCAGAACAACCTCCCACCTAGGGAGCAACCACACCTCGACCCCTTCAGAGAAGTTAACGAAGAAGGAAAAAATAGTCAAACCATGGGGCCAGAATCTCGTTTACCCCCCAGGAATGGCCACAACGACGAAGGATAGAGTCAGAACGAAGAAGGTGAGAGAAACAATTTTTTCCCCTATCAACAGGAAAAGAGAGAATAATACTGGGAGCAGCGCTTCCAAGGTATCCAACAAGAGCTCAGTCACATGAAAGAAGTCGTGAGAAGCAGGGCTCCAGTTACCATGGATGCCTTGGTACAGCAGACTGAATCCCTGTTCACCACTGGGGTACTGTATTTTTCCCTCCCTATGAAATTCAAAATACCACAAATAAACGCTTTCGATGGAACAAAGGATCCCGTAGATCACCTTAACACCTACAAGAACCAGATGGAGTTACATGGATACTAGGATCCAGTGCGCTATATAGCTTTTGCCATCACGTTAAGGGCTCAGCCCTAGCATGGTTCAATAGGCTCCCCCATCCTCGATATCCTCCTTTAAGGAGTTATCCATATCCTTTGTGTCTCACTTTATAGGAGCTCGAACCTACAGAAAGCTGAGTTACCACTTGCTAAAAGTGAAACAGAGACCCCACAAGAACCTCATATCCTATGTTCAGAGGTTTAACTCGGAATCGCTAAAAGTGGACATCCCAGACGAGAAATTTGTCATTACTGCATTTATAGCTGGCTTGGGTGTCCAATCTAAAGACCTGATGTTCTCTATCTTGAAAAATTCCTAAGCCAGCGTGGCCGAAGTACTAGCCAAGGCGAAAAAATACATAAACGGTGAAGAAGCTCTGCTCTCAAAAGTGGGGAGCTCATCCATACAAAAAGACAAAGGGAAAGAAGAGAAAAAGAGGGACCGAAGTCCCAGAAGAGAGAGAGGACGAGATAGGTCCTCAAGAAGAGACAAAGATCACTCCCGTAAAAGAAGGAGAAACGTCAGAGATCGCTGGGACCACCTCATCTGGAGTTGCAGTCGAGGTACGCACCTTGACAGATTCTCCCACTCACCACAACAATATCGCAAATCTTGTATGAAGTACAAAATAAAAAATTCCTGAGGTGGCCACCTTGGATGAAAGCGGACCTGGTGAAAAGGGACCCCTCAAAGTACTGTGAGTACCACAAGGACCATGGTCATCATACTGATGACTGCATTTAGTTGAAGAAGGAGATAGAGTTCCTAATCCAACGAGGGCAATTGCGTCGTTACATAGCCTAGGAGACTCAGAATCGAGCCCCACCACCTCTACCACCTTAGCAGCAGGCTCCTGCGCAGCACCAACAACCCCTAGGAGAGATCAGGGTAATATCAGGGGGTTTTGCAGGAGGCAGGGAATCTAGTTCAGCCAGGAAAGCCCACCTACGCAGAATCAGAGCTGGTGAGGTTTTAAAGGTGTAAAGGTGTGGAGCCCGTGAAATGCTCACCTGTTGGGATTTACGGGAGAACGGGTGTTGCCACTAGGCTCAATCCAGCTTGTGCTCACTATAGGAGACCCCCTACCATTCAACCACTACAATAAGATTCCTAGTGGTTGATGCCCCCTCTACATACAACATGCTACTCGGGAGACCTTCTCTCAATGCAATGAAGGCCATCCCCTCGACCTATCATCTAGTCATGAAATTCCCTACGAAAAATGGAGTTGGAGTGGTCCAAGGAGATCAATGGGTTGCAAGGGAATGTTACTTGACTTCGATGAAGCAGAAAGAAGTTGAAAACATACGACTAGATGAGCTGGACATGAGGGACGAATTGGGCTCCAGGCTAATGCCATCGGAAGAACTGGAGCTAGTTCAGCTTGATGAAGAGCCAGAACATCTCGTCTACATTGGGACTAAACTGAGTAGAGAGGTAAAGGACCTTCTCATCCTGTTCCTGAAGGAGAATATGGGGGGTGTTTGCTTGGAAACAAGAAAACATGGAAGACATTGACCCCTCGGTTATCATTCACAAGCTGAGTGTGAATCCTACCTACAAGCCCGTCAAGCAGAAACGAAGGAGTTTTGCCCCAGAGCGTTAGAAGACAATCAATGAGGAGGTCGGCAAGCTTCTTCACGCCAGAGCTATCAGGAAAGTAGATTACCCTACCTGGCTGACCAACGTGGTTC